GAAAAAAATATGTCGTTTGATTTCGAGTAAAGTCAAAAAGATGTAATACATTTAGATCTCCATATCTTGGTTATTTGTGGATTAATAAACCACACGAATTGTGTACTTGAAACAAGATATAAGTAAGCGAGTGAAGAAAATACATGCGCGACTAAATTTCCGAGGTATATATTCAAATGGAGATATGTTCATGGCTGGGTTCATCTATACTGGTGCCGATGATACCGTTCGGTGTGAAAAATGTCAATTAGAAGTATCTGGATGGACTCAAGATATGGTACCAAAGGTTGTGCATGCTGAACGTAATCCTAATTGTCCATTTCTTTGTTCTGCACTAGTAAACCCTTGCATGGAGTCAAATGATCAAGAAAATCCTACAAAACGTCAAAAAAAAGAATCAAATTCAGATCAATATAAATATAATTGTAAATTGTGGGAAGTAAATAAACTCAAGCGAATACGACGCCGAACATTTTCTCATTGGTCTCATCAAATAAAGCCATCTGTTGAACAAATGATCGATGCTGGGTTTTTTTCATGCAATGTTGGTGATCGTGTTATTTGTTTATATTGCAATTTGATTTGTCAACAGTGGAAAGCAGATATCGATGATCCATCTGAAGTTCATAAAACTCTTTCACCTAAGTGTCCATATGTTTTATCAATATTAATACAACCGGAACGATCTTCTCCTGTGGTAGTAAATGAAATATCAACAAATAATCGAAATAATCAAATCTTTGGTTCAACTAATGCTGCACAACTTCAATTTGATCAAATTGTTAATACAACGCCATGTAATCCTGCATACAGTGAAATTACAAAACGTCTACAATCATTTACAACATGGTCTCATAAATCCTCACCATCAGTAGATGAACTAGTTCGAGCTGGCTTTTTTTATACCGGAGCTGAAAATATTGTAGCATGTTTCTATTGTAATGGTTCATTACAGAATTGGAATGCCAATGATAATCCATTAATTGAACACGTTCGATGGTTTCCTTATTGTGGCTATGCAAAACAAGTGTGTGGCGATGAACTTTATCGAAAAATTCAAGAAGCCAAACGAGTTCTGCAAGGTACATAATGAATGTTGTTCATCGTAGAAAGAGAACAAACGATTTTGTTTTAATAAAAATTTTCTTTCTCTTTTTAGAGCGTAATAGGACTAATCGACCAAACGAGACAAGAGAAAATGGTAATCTATTAGTTTCAAATCAATTACAAGTAACTGATTCTAATATCTTATCACGTTTTGTTGCTGCTCGACTTGATTTATCAAGTTCGCAAAATTTACTTGATCAAAACTTTAAGTTATCAGTTATAAAACGATGTTGGGAAGATCAATTACAATTAAAAAGTAAGTATATTATAGGAAGTTATTAAAATATACTAAGAATTATTATCTGTTTATTTAGAAGACGATTTTTGCACCGACGCTGATCTATTAATAGCTTGTACTATTCTACAAAAGCAAATCGATCATATCCAAGGCAATAAAGAAAATATTATTATTCCTAGTATTCAGATGAGTTTAATTCATGAGAGAAAACAATCTGGTTTATCATCTTTATCAACACACTCAAACAATAACAATGTAGGATTATCACAAAATCAATTAGTTCCTGAGACATCTCAAATCGAATTGACAACAACAACAACAAACAAAGAAAATTCAGCAGTGTCAGAAACAAGTTCTACTAAAATTTCATCAATAGTTAATCCTTGTATTATTTGTCATCAAGACGAGAAACAACTCGCCTGTATCCCATGTGGTCATTTAACGACATGCGTCTCCTGTAGTCGTACACTTCGAACATGTCCAGCATGTCGAAGACAAATCGAAGCATTCGTTCGTGTTTACATTTAAGGTTTTACTTTAGTCAAGAAGAATGATGCATGTCAGTCGTCCTTCTATTTATACTTGAACTTAAAATCGGCCTATCCATTGTGTTTCAAATACATATTCGTGTGGTTTATTAATCCACAAATAACCAAGATATGGAGATCTAAATGTATTACATCTTTTTGACTTTACTCGAAATCAAACGACATATTTTTTTCTCAAAAATAAAACATATTATACCGCTATTCGAAAAGTAAAAATGTAATACGTCTCAGTATCATTATTTTTTATTTTGTATAAGATATAATATATATATTCCATCATTTGTACTTACATTGAGTTATATTTAATTGAACAGAATCACAATGACCAAAACAATACTGAACGAATACATTAATTGATTGATTCGTTTTTTTTATTTTGTAATACAAATAGGGTGTGGGTGTGAGTGTGGTGTGGGTGTGGGGTGTGGATGTGGGTGTGGGGTGTGGATGTGGGTGTGGGTGTGGGTGTGGGTGGGTGTAGGTGTTGGTGGGTGTGGGTGTGGGTGTGGGGCGTGGGTGTGGGTGTGGGTGTGGGGCGTGGGTGTGGGTGTGAATGTGGGTGTTCTCTTGTCCCACACCCACACCAACTCCCACACGCACACCCACACCCACACCGACACCACCCACACCCACACCCACACCCCACCCACACTCAGCTCACCATGGATATATGTCGTGTGATATGCCTTTTATATTTGCTGGAGGTATCTCACTCAGCTTTGCTACATCAGAATTCAAGTACAGTGGAAGTTGCCAAACTAATAAACAATAAATCTCTTGAAGATGAATCCCCAATATTAAAAATGTGAATAGTCGCTATTCTCCACTCTGATTTCAGTTTAGTTCCAGCTCTCATATAGATGGCTGGTGGTGTGTCAAAATGATTGTAACATCTCTCTCTTGGAATGACAATTACTTATGTACCAACCAAGATATTGGCTTGCCATGGAGAGTACATTTTAATCAATGCTCTCCAAACTTGAAATAATCTCTACCTATCGGAACCAACAGATTTAAACTGGGCTCATAATGCTTTGTGTCTTCCACTTCAATCAAAAATTGAACTCGTGTGGTCACATTGCGGGGCATTGCCATTAATGTCATGTGTTCAACTGCTCGATATTGCATCACCGAGCTACCTTAACGACAACTATGTGTACTGGAAAGAACATGCGAACTGAATATGCTTCTTTTGAAACTTCTTCTCTGTTATATTAACGAAGCATGGGTGTGGGTCACACAATAAAATTCTAAGGATAAAAGTTTGATTTGTCTCAGTGAACTGTTTCAAGTCCGAAAATATATTAATCCGTACCTTTTTTTGCAATATCAGATATAACTATCTTGTGTTTGTGGGTGAATGTGTCTGTGATAGCTGTTGCTTAAGTGGGAGTGTGGGAGTCTGCGATGTGGTGGATATGTCTGCAAACCCACACACCCACATACCCTCACACCCACCTACACCCCACACCCCACACCCTCAAATAATTCTGGATCTTGGTGACGAAAACTTTCAGCCCTTTGACACTTCGAACACCGTTTAGATAACCAATTTGCATCCAATATCTTTGAACATCGTATTGTAGAACACAAAGCAACTACTCCATGTGCACTGGTGTGGCCTCTTGTGAGCCATACTCCGTCAATTGTTTTGTGGAACTCAAGTATATTTTCGAAGAAAATAGTGAGTGTAAGTTAAGTTCGAGGTTTTTCGGCTCCCCCCACCCCTCCCCCTCCTCCCCTTACAGATCACAGCAACTAAAGAGAACATTACATACACATACCCCCCTCCCATTACAGACTGCAACAACCGTATTCATCAAATAGTCGATGGTGGAGAAAAATAACTTCAAATTAGAAAACAAAACAAAAATATTATTATCGAGTATATAGCAATAATTATAAATAAAATCGAGCGCGCTTAAATGAAAAAACAATATTCTCTTTTTTAATATATTTTTTTAATATACAAATAAATAATAAATTCCCGCTCTTTTCATCGATTCTCAAGGAAAACAACTATAGTTGATAAGTCTTTCAGTATACAGATGATACGTCAGATAACAAAGCTAAAGGTATACATGAGTTCCACATTTCAGCTCCGCAGGAGCTGCGCTAACAAGCTTTTTTAATAAAATATTTTTTTGGGAGCAAAATATGAAATGCAAAATTCTACCATTTAGTATAAGTCCCCATTATGTAGCGTATGGAGAATGGCATGTTATTAACGTAAAAGAAATGATAGGCTAAAGCAAAGTACAAGACTTATAGGTCTGAAATTTTGCATATAATCCTAAATATATCTAAGCATAATAACAGAATATTTCAACTCAAACTGAGCCTTTTAAAAGAGCCGAACGAAAAAACTTTTGTAGTGTCTCATGTACTAAAAATCCATATAAAATATAACTCTTGAAAAAGTTTATGAAAGTTAAATCAATAATTTAAAATAAAAAACTAAAATAATATAATGTGTTGAAATATTCTGCAAAATATGAATTTATCTATCTGTGAGCGAAATCTATATTCAATCATATTGTCAAATCCAATTAAAAGCCGTTGAATATTTTCACCATCGATGATTGACTGCAGTTTTCACCACTATTCGAACTGTTCTCAATAAAAGACAAATTCTGTAGATTTTATTTATGAATAATATTCGTTGGAACAAAACTCTGTACTTCCTATTCAATTGATTTTTATTGGACAAAAAAAGCGACATGACCATTGTTCTTTTTATTCATTTATTTTCAACACATGACTATTGAATGAATGGTCTGTTTATCTTTCGTCCTATTTTCTTTATAGGTCTTAATTGAAAGACAAAAGTATTGTTAGAGAAAAATAAAAATGTGTCTACATTATATTTGATTACAAAATTCACACAGAATTATTCTTTTAGTCAAGTTTGTTCACTTTCGAAGAAAAGCGAAGAAAGATAAAATTATTTTTTCTTGTTCATTATTGTATGACTATTATCACTATATTCTCATTTTTTTATCTTATAGAAATTTTGAAAGAGGTTAAATAGTTTTTTTCTCTTCATATATTTTAGTTTTCAAGTAATTAATTCCTTTAAAAACTTCATCTATATTATTTTAATTCTTTCACATATTCTAGGATTGTTTAGTCGAAAATAGATAAAAGATAATTTATATGTAATACTTTATTTTAGTTTATTTAATTCGAATTCTAAATAAATATAGAACATTAACAGGATTAACCATCATTTTTCTTTTTCAATTAAAAATCTCCCTATTTTGTTTAAATAATATTCGATAAAATGAGTGTTTAAATATAGAAATTATTCTCAAAGTAATATCCTTCTATTTGTTGCTCTATTGACGGTAGTTCGTTCATCCCCTTTTTCTCACGTCATTTATCGACGAAAAACTTGATTTCGAATGAGACAGAGTATGCTTGTATCAAATGCCATGTCTAATTCGACTCTGAGTAGTTTACTGCTAGAGAATTACTCCGATAAATAATTTTTTTTTCAAAAGTAGTATTTTTATTGGAATTGTTTTCTTTTGGTTATCGCCTTATCAGAAAATGAATTTTGTCAAGCCTGATTGTTGACGAAGTTTTTATCTAGCTTATTCGAATCTATCAGAAGTTTTTACCATGGATAATTGAACGTATCCCCTTCACAGGTAAAATTGACGGTTTTTCTTTTTTACTTTTCTATCCAGATTTATTAGGTTGTCACGGCTCACATGGTGATTTCAAGAAAATCTTTAAGTAATCTGTCAGTTATAGTCTTACATATCTAAAAAAAACAAAAAACTTTAACCTAATTGGATCAAAATTTGATAAGAGTGATAATGTACTAGGATGGAACTCTCTAGAAAAGCAATCTTTTTCAAAAAATCTGTAAAAATCCAGTTGAAACTATTTTTTTTGTTATTGTTCGGTATTGTTTGTCTTGTAAAAAATTTTAGTTTGATCGATTTGACTGTCTTCAGGAAGAAAAGAAAAAGAGTGAAGTGAAGAATATCTTAACTAAATTGTAATTGAGTCAATCTCATTGGAATTTTCAAAGGAGTTTCACTTTTCGTTGTTTTTTGTTTTTGTTTAGATGAAATATTTCAATTAGTGATAGATTTAAATTCTATAGTTAGATAAATTTATGATAATTAAATTATTTGAAACGATGAAGTTTGACCAAGATGATAACTAGAGTTTTTCAGTAAGAGATAAATATGTTAATTCAAGACATTAGGTAAGTCATTAGGCAACAAGAGAATTTTTTTCGAAATCATGAAATTTGACTTTTACTATTATGGTTTTCGAAGAATAGTTGTTTGTCTATTGAAAATTATTGTCAAAATCTGTTTTAAAATATAAATTTCTTAACGGTTCAATATATATATATAAAGAAGTTCTTCTGTTTTATTTGAAAATATTTAAATAAAAATAAACTTTTATCTGATCGATCTTTTTATTTGATTGATGTGTTAAGAAACATGAGAGTGTGCTTGTTGACATGCCATTTTCGATGCTAACATGAATTCGGTTTTATTTACAAATTTAGTATAAATATGAAAAAGTTTCTTTCAAAAAAAAAATCTCAGTCGAAATAACTAACCAAATAGAATATCGAACAATTAATTTAAATAAAAATGAATCTTAAGAATATATAATTAAAATATGTAAATAGAAATATATTTGTTTAGATAAAATGATAAATAAATTTGAAAATCTCTCAAATGAAATTCTTCTTCTTATATTATTGAATTTAACATGGTTTGAAATGATAGAATCGTTTTGGTTATTAAATCAACGATTTAATTCACTTATTTGTTCAACATTTTCAATGAACTATGATGGAAATAAAAATGGAATTCGAATTAATGAAACAGGTTTATCTTTGAATAAACTTCAATTAATATTGTCGTCAATTATTTCAAATTCATCTCTTTCGGCTTCTATACAACAAATTCATATTGATGGATCAAAATCAAGTTTGTTTTTCAATATTATATCTCAATGGATTTTTCAAGAAAAACTTATTCATTTTGTTAATTTAAAATCAATTATTCTTATTCGATGTTATCTATCAAATATATTAATTAACAATTTATCTTTACTTGTTCAATATCACTTGGATCATCTTACATTAACACTTAATGAATGTACTAAGGAGATTCTTTACAATATCGACGGGTCTACTGTCAATGATCACAATCTCAATCACGGTAAATTTTAGTGCCTTGCAAAAGAGAAAAGAAAAAACAACTTTATCGAAAACATCTTTGATATATAAATATAAAATATTCAATGAAAGAAATGATTTGAGAATAATTGAAATTTCTATATATTTATTGAAAGACTAATAAATAAATAAATAAATGTTCTTTATATAAATAACAGACCAAAATGCTCCAGACACGTGCAAACATTTCATAGGGCAATTATTTTCTTCTAAATCTCAATTAACTTCACTTCGGCTTGATATAACAAATGATGGTTGTGATGGTCAAATTCATGATTATTTTTTACCTATTTATAATTATTCAAATCAAATTGATACTAAATCTATTAAGAATTGTATCACCCTTCGTTATTTACACATTAATATTATATTTGGTTGTTTTATTGAACATGTTATTGAATATCTACCCAATCTTGAAATTCTTTCAGTTGTATTCAGAAATTCAATATCGACTGATTTTTTACATAAAATGAACATTACACAATTTGTGACAATGGTTTCCAATTGGAACGATAAGGTAACAATAGAGAAAACATAGCCGAAAAATTGTTTTATAAGAGAAAAATCGATTCTTCCTATAGAAATCTCGTCAAACAAACAAATCCTCTTTTCGATTAGTTTTATTCGAAAAATATTTATGTAGTTTTTTGTCAATGTTAAGAAAGAGAACGATGGATTATTTTTATATCTTCCTTATTTAAATAGGTTAGCGAATTATCCTTGACTGTCTACTATTCGATCATTTTTAACCGATTGATAAAGACAATTTATTGTCAATAATAAAGACACGAATCAAGAGAATTCTTCAACATTCTCTACACCACTCAATAAATAATAAGTATAATTCTATCTAGAAGATTTTAACAAATGATCAATTTCTAGAAGTTTATAATTTTACTCAAATATGAGAAAATCGTACCGAATGACAAAAAAAATTCATGTCTTTTTTTGTTAAAATATTTTCCGTTTGGATAAAAATAGATTTCTAAGAATATTTTCAAGCTAAGAACATATATCTTAACTAATAATTAACTGATAAAAAGAAGTAATCCATGACGATTTTATAGTAAGTTTCTATCGAGAAAATATACGAATCTTTAGTTTTCCTATTTATTTAATTGACGAGCGAATCACCGAAATCGTCTTTCTTTCTGTTTCTGTTTGTTTGCTATATTGATTGTATTATCGTATGGAATACCAGAAAGTATGAATATATCGTTAATCAATAGCGTCATCTCTATGCGGATTAATAAGATAGATTTAACTAGACGAAATCATTCTAGATCTGATTTGTCAATGATAGGCATTTACTCGGTTAAGTGTGTCTGTGCCTATCATTCGTTTTCTTGAGCCAGATCCGCTTGCCTGTTGTGGTCTGTGTTTTTTTTCTTCTAAATAGGTTAATATAATGATGATGAGTGAATGCAATTCGAAAACGTTCGTTTCGAAAAGGCAAAAAAAAATCATGTTAATTTAAGTGAGATGATTATACGAAAGATGTATCAAGTCAAGAAATAATCGAGAATTGGAAAACTTTTAAATTCAGAAAAACAAAAATCTGTTTTTTTTTATCGTTAATGTTTCTAATAGACTAGAGAAATTAGTTAAACAAGACATAAAAACACTTGTTATTTGATGAATATATAAATATTAATCAATGTTCAAAATAAATAATTAGCCAAAAAATGTTGTTAATATAAAAGTAAAATATTTTAACAAGTGAATAGAAAATCCAATAAGATCGACAATAATAATAATAAATAAAGAAATGAGCGATGAATGTGCCGATAGAATCTAGAATTAATATTGATTCTATCGAATTAAAATGATAAGAAAAATCTATTTTTGAGCATGAAACAACAAAGATGTTCGATTGTATTTATTGAAAATCATATCTCATGTTTAAAAACCAAGAAGATATGAGAATGTGTCGATGAAAACTACTTATTCTATATGTCGAAATTAAAATACAGTTTATTTAATAATAGAATTTTCACTGTATTCTTGAAATCAGTGAAGATTTTAACCTTAACGATGGAATATATACAAAGATTTAGTCGAATTTGTTTCATCTGCATTTAGATGGGCTGATTCATTATCTTAGTCCACTTATCTCTTAAGAAATATGCTTCATTTATACATCTTATTTTATATTACAAATTATTTTCCAAGATTTTTTTCTCAAGAGGACTCATTTTAATTTTATCATAGTCGTTTTATTTGAATAATCAAGAAATAGGAGATTATGTCTCTTCAAGTCAGACAGACAGTCTCGTCAATTTTTTTGAGTTCTATTGCAAAGTAAAATGAGTTCTATTCGAATTTAACCGTACGAACATCATATTAAGCATTGACGTTATCAATTCCTGTAATCAACTGAAGATAAACTCTGTTTGATTTAACTAGATTTTTTTTGCTTTTCATAGAAGATTATGTATAAAAAGTATTCAATGATAATTAAATTAGTGAAAATAGTATGTTTTTCATTGAAGTAAATCTGAATCAAAATTAGGTCATGTTAACGATCGATCGAAACATATTGAATTTTCATCATACATGGAGCTTAGTTTTAAAACTAACTTATTTAAATTTTACAGTAGATATTTTCATTTCAATATGGGAAACTTTTCGATAGAACATTTTCAAGGACATTTAAAAGTAGCATGAATTTACAGAGAATTTCAATGTATAAAAATAAAATAGTTTCATACGGAATGAATATGATCAAAGATTAATAACAATTCTAGTTAAGACATATAGGCATACAAGTTAATAGTCGAGCGTTTTTTAGAAGTGACTTAATTTCATTATTAATAAACATCTCTGTTTGAAAGTTGAAACAGTAGTTAGAATATTTGATATTAAGAAATAGAATATTGATTATTGATTATTATTAAAGTAATAACATGATTAGAATTAAATAATCTTGTTAATATTAATATAAAATTTTTTGAATATTTCTCATGAATTTTCTAAATTCTATATATTGAAAAATTTATATTAATGAAAAAGAATTCGTTTGGTCGTAATTGATTCAATTGATTGAAAGAAAAAAAAAATTCGAGCAATATTGAGGCTCTCGCATCGATTCTCTCAATGTGTTGTTATCTGATGGACAATTTCGGGTCAATATTATAGTTGGAAGATTATTATTAATTCGATAGAAATTAACAAATAAATTCTTAAAATATCGGCTGACCCAGAATAAATTGGACTGATGTGTTTACTAAAAGATTCCTTGTTCAATTATCTATAAAAAGGGCGTTGACTAATTTTATTGCAGAATCTAAATGTGAGAAATTGTTGCAAATATCGAAATAAGGAAAAATTAAAGATTGGTAAGTAGAGAACAAAGTTATTTCTAAGATTTTTTTCTGAAAATTTTATGAGAAGAAAAAATTAAAGTAGCCATGACGTAGCACATTGAAAAGATCTTTTTCTCCGCCTCTAATTTTTAAAATTTTTCGTTAGAATTGAAGATATGAGAATCTTTATTATTTTTTTGCCAATTTTTGAAAAAAAATGCCATTTATTTAATCAACATTTTGAACTAGACGATAAAAGAAATAAAGCCTAGTCAATATTTATTTCTTGAGCCTGATTCTTTTGTTCATTTATTTAAAACAATCTTTAATCGTATGATAGGATCTTTTATGTTTAAAAAAACAACAACATTATTTTGTTGAATCACAGAGAAAAGGGTAAATATAGTTGTTATTTGTTGTTTGTTTTCTATGAAGTAAATCTTCGTGTTGTATATTTGAATTGAAATGATTTTCATATTGAGATTCTTCAGTAAAAGACTCAATAGAGTTTTGTATAGAGAATTGAACGAAGAATCTTTTAGTAAAGACATCAACTTAATTAATTTCAATATAGGAAACCAATATTAAAAGAGTCTAATTTATTCTGATTGATCTGACAGATAAAGGGAATCGATAATAAGAATATGAAAGAGTATATACGAATTCTCTTTTCATCAACAAAAAAAAAAATTCTAAATTCTATTAAAATAAATATTTATTTAATTTTAGGTTCCAAAATTAAAAAGTTTTACTTTAAAAGGTAAAATTTTGTATGATTCTCAGTTGATCTATTTAAAATCGATTCTTAATAATGTTGATCATGTTGAAAAGTTAAAACTTTATGTTGATATTGATTTAACATATGAAAAAGATTCAATGAAAAAGAATTGTGTGATTGATGCTAATTTTATTAGTCAATATTTAATGCCTGATATATCGAAAAATTTGATTAATTTTAATTTCAATATTCTATCGAAATGCCAATTATTATCATCTTATGGTATTAAAATGGTAGAAGAATCATTTAAAACTCATCAATTTTTTCTTCATCATCATTACATAAATATAAAATGTTTCTTTGATCGAATAATGTCATATCAACATATATCAACGATAGGAATAATTAAACCTAAATTGTTTGATGGAATTATGTAAGATATTTAGTTAAAATTCTTTGAATTTCTTATTATCTATTATAGAAATTATGCAAGTATATTCGATTGGCAATACGTCAAATATTTAAATGTTAATTTAAATTCAACTATTCATTTATTTCTCAAACAATTTAATATTATATTTCCTCATATAACTTGTATTAAATTTGATATGGGTAATTATTTGATTAATCTAGATAATTGAATAAAATGTTTAAATAGAAAAACAAAAACGGAAGATTAAAAAAAAAAATTTTATGTCGTCGAGATCGTTCATGTTTCGTTGTTTATATTGATTTGCTTCATCCATAGAACTGTTTGGATTTATTTTAAAATCTTATGGTAAATTTTTATTTTTCTGTAGGAGAAAAAAAATTTATTACTAAGTGTGAATATTCGACTTTTTTAAAATCATCATTGGATATATTACAATGGAAATTAACCGATATTCATCTCGAATATGTAACAAGACTTGATTTTGGATATAACTTTCGACGTTGTTCTGGTAAATTTTTACTTTCTTCTTTCCTAATATTTACTAACATCATTAATAATCATTTGTTTTTTTTTTATCTCGATCATTAGTAGAAAATTAATTCTCAGAAGTCAACCTGAACAATTTAGAAGATCGTTTATGGAAATATCTTTGCCTATTTAATAGAGAAATTTTGAAATATATATATATTTACCTTAGTTATGCAAAGAAAAACAAAAAAGAAAATATTTATAGATAGTTGACATTATTGATCCCTATCTGATTCATAGATATAATTAGCATTATTAACCTAAATCAATTGTTCTACCAAGAACTTTAACAAAATAAATAAAATGATGCTTTTCATTATCAAATCGATATTATATTTCAAATATTTCGATTTAACTGTCTCTTTACATCCAAAATTTTCTTTTTGAATATTTTTGACATAAAAATCATGAAAATAATGATTTGTTTTTCATTTTTTTTTGTAAGTGTCTAATTTGAGTCGTATCGTTGAAGAAAAATTTTTAAGCTCATCGTGACATCTGATCATTATTAGTTGACATACAGTTAGTTAAATCGTGGTTATAAACACTTGAATTATTTGATTATTTTCTATTATATAAAATAAATTTATTTTTGACATTTCCTAGAAGTTTATTTCGTTTAGGACAATCAGTAAACGGACGAATGAACTTCAATAGAATAATTTTGGCAATAATACTATTCGCGAATATGATCAACTTTAAGAATTTTATAGAAATAAATCCATCTATTCAACTCTCGAGATCTACTGTCTCTTTTTCTCTTCAATTAAGATTCAAGTCTTCTTTGTAGTTCGATTAATAAAAAGTAAATATTTGTTTTTTATAGGAATATTTTTTGTTTTTTTTCTGGGAGAATTTTAAATAAAGGCTTTCCTTTCTTCTCTTATAAAAAAAACAAGGAAAATTGCGATAAAATTGCATTGAAATACTGTTCCGATATGTGATCCTTAGCAGTATCCAACAAGTGATAAATACAAAATTTTTAATCTGTTAAGAAAGTATCAATTGCGTTTTGATAATTGATTGAGGAATTACTTTAATTGTTCTATCGATAAAATTCCAAGTTATTCTTTTTGTTTGTTAGTTTTCATAGACATATATATATGTATTTATGTTGACAAATTCTTTAGTTAAAATAAATAGGGAAGCGAGAAATAATTCATTTATTCTATATTTAATTAAATCAATAATGGTGAAAGTGTAATGAAATGACCTAAGAATTTCTATTAATAAATCGTTGAACATCATTTGAGAAAGAAATTCTTCGAAATAATATTTATTAAAATATATATTTTTAAAAATGTCATTATTATAATATTAATATTAATATTTGTTTTTATTTTTATTTTTATCAGAATGTAATAATAAATCTACTAATGAAAATAAATTACGAGCAGAAATACTTGCTCATCTTATTTCAATGCCAATTCAATTGATTTATCTAAGAATCGAACAGTTTGAATGGCTTTTGCATATTGTTGAATATGTAAGTATTTGTTTAAATCGTTAGAAGAAATAAATTATCAATATGTTTTATTTCATAATAAATAGTTCGATTTTATTTTTCTATTTTAATTATTTGAAAATTTCCTACTGATCTAATTAAAAAGAATATTATTTATTCACTCGTAAAAAAAAATCCTATTTTATATTGTTTGTCAGAGAAAGAATGTTTTATGTCAGTATATATTCCTATCATCAATATTCATTACATAAGCAAATTACAGTATAGGAAAAGATGAAGCATATTTTTGTCTATAATATGTTGATAATCTTAGCACGATTCTGCTTTTTCCATAGATTAGTTGAAGAGAACAAAAATTTGTCAACTGAATATCTGATGAGACTTTTAAATAAATTAAAAAAAAGTATATGTCATTACAACAGGAGACTCATCATACGATCATTTTCTAAATAAAATATTGATTAAAATGATCTATATGTTCATTGGAACAATTTAAACTTGAAACTATTTTTTGTATCCAATAAAAATAATAATTCGAAACAAGTTTTTTTCCAATCTTTATAGACTTTCTATTTCGAAGTTTTTTCCTCCCAACAACGTTATGATATGTTTTATTCCGATATTGAGAAAACTGTAATAATGAACTAATATAGTCAATATCAATAGTAATTATTTATTGTTCATTTCTTTGACATTTATCATAAATGATTTTGAATATATATTTGATGAATTTCAAATATTCGAAGAAAATCTTTTCGAAAAAAAAAAGTTAAATTATTTTAATGACATAACTGATGAAAAGTAACTTTATCTTTGATTTAATTTAATTGTTTACTCTTCAACTAACTTTCTGTAAGTTAATGCTTTTGTTTGAAGACTTTTGTATGAGTTTAATACGAATGAAATATGATAAAAATCTAAGAAGAAAATTTCCATATTTAATAATAATGATCATTAGTCAACTGAAAGTTGATGATATCAATCGACTGTAAATGACAGATTGAGAATTGTATCTTGTCATTATATCTAATTGTTGGATATGATCTTTCCTATCGATTTTCGAAAACAGTTCGATTCTATCTCTCGAAATAAACGGATAGTATTATCTTCTCGTTATCCATAATCAGAACGCATATCAGACATCGCTTCATCAATTGGAAGGAACTAAGCACATTAATGAAAGAGAAGAATTGATAAGCTAATTGTAATTTCGAAATCATTCAGAAATTTCTCATATATATCAT